GTTCAAGATGGTTGGATTTGGCCCAACTTCCTTTTCGTCTAAGGTTTCCGGGTTTGATCCAGTTATTGCTTCGTTTAAGATACCCGGATCTGGCCTATCAGTGACAGAGCTCGCAAGAAAGTCATCATCCGTGAAAATATCTCTGTTGTAAGGAAACACACCCGAAATCCAGACTGTATATTTTTGGGAGTAAATGCGAGGAGGTATGCAATAGAGACCACTGAAGGTATGTCGTATATAGTCATGGTCTTACCGGGATTATTTAAAACCCAAGCATCGCAGGAAGTATTTACATATTTCTTGAAAGCCGAAAACGGCGCGGTCAAGAGGTTGAAGTTTATGTGAACAGTGATGGTAAAAACAGAGCATGACAATGCCATTTTTTGCTTTGGCAAAATTCAGTCCTTCTATACTCAGATGTGATCCACGGTTATCTAGTAAAAGCAGGCACGGTCTTTCCACAGTACTTTTCAGATGAAGGTGAAAAAAATCTAAGAAACTCTAAGAAATGTGACTCTTTCATCCAACCTGATGGGTTTGCTGAACCTTGTGAGCCACGAGGAGCCGAATTTAAAAAATGTGGTTTGAAATGTACCCGTGGAAAAATGAAAAAAGGAGGTATGGAATTTCCAATAGCTGATGCTGCACTTGCTAAAGTAACAAGAGTTCCTCTTTCTGATGAAACTATTGAACCAACCTGTTTGAATCCTCTTCTGGCAACAACGCGTTCGGGTCTATGGACAGTTGTAATCCCAGGTTCGTCATGTTCCAGATTTCGTGAGGCTCAAATTTATATTTTTCCATAACTGAAGGTAAATTATCAAAAAATGCGTTGACGTCCGTTTTATTGAAACTACTGGCTCTTGCTAAACTAGTTGCTACCGGTTTGCTAATAGACAGTACAGGGTGACGTTTCAGAAACGCACTAAACCAGTCAGGACCAGCTATTTTATGGAGCTTGCAATTTTCCGGCATTTTCAAGGAAATAGCATTAGCTAATTCATATGCCAGTCCACGTACTTCCTTGGGTGATAATCCAAAATAAATATCAGATGCTTTGAGCGCATATTCCACTAGATGATTATCAAGTTCGGGCTCAAATACTAAATGATTTTTGATGTGGCTAACTGAAATTGACGGCGCAACAACTCTATCATCAAGTAATTCAGACTATGGAATTTTCTTACAGTATCTTGCTAAAGTACGGTAATTTACATTGAAAATATTAAAAAAATACGTTGTATACATATACCTACGTAGAATGGTGTGCAAAGCTAATCTTCTAGTGTGGGGGCTGGTTGTCACATGTGACAAGAGGCCCCCGCTAATTTGAGATAACCTGCCCCACTAGATAATTAATCTTTAAGGTTAGATAGCGTCACTAAATTAACAAATTCAAAGTCAATACTTACGTTAAGTCGTATTCGGATTATTTAAGAACAAAATAAATTCAACAGTTCTTTTTATTATCAAATGTAGTCTTGAAAACAAAAATTATGTGGCAAACGAAAAATTTACTCAGGTTAGGCGATTTGTTTATTTTTGTGCGTGCGACCTTAATCTAACAAAGACAACTTTCGTACTGAATACAAGTGTTCTGCGCGGACGCGGAAACGATGTGGAGCGCGCCAGGCAACTACATCTTGCGGAGCTGTTGAGATTTAACAATTGTGACAACCAACCCATGTGACAACCAGTCCCGGTCTCCCCTACTAGTTTATTGAGCAAAATACAGCGTTTCTTAAAGAGCATTTAATAGCAAAATACACGTGATAAATGTTATTTTTATGCGAAAAACAATGGTTCCGTTTTTTTCTTCTAAACAAATTCAAAAATATCGTATTTGTGAGTTATTGAACAAATGCGCTACGATATTCGAAAAACATACGATACTATAAACATTTTAAAACAAAGCGGATGTGTCTATCATCTTTTGTTGCGAATTACTCACAAATACGAAATGTATGAAGTCTTATATGAGGAGTCGTTTCGTTCCTGTCATCACTTTCGATTGAATCCCAAAGAACAGGTTTTCTCATTTTTCGTCTAATATGATCAGACTCATAATCTTATGGAGCGTTTCTAGCTTACAGGAAGTGTGCCATATGAGAAGAAAGAGAGGGTGAAACAAATTTTACAGGAAGAGAATGTATTTCAAGTTATGCTCATGTAAATCCCCATGTAAATATTTGGCATATTTCAAAAGATTCAGACATTAACAAATCATCCGTGCTCAGTATACTTAACATATACAATTCCTCCATGAGCTAAGCGAAAACGATTACGAACTTAGCCTTACGTTTTTCGGCTGTGCACAAGAAAAAATCCGTGACGCCGCCGACGAATCAACTTTCCATAAAATGGATGTGTCAACAAGCACAATTTCGACATTATGCCAGCCATCAGCCCTATGCGCACAGTGAAGAAAGATGGTCATTAAACGTCTGGGGTGGCATAATTGGCAATTTTGTTATAGGACCACGTTTTTTCAATGCTACATTAAAAGGACAAGTTTATCTGGACTTTTTGGAAAACATTTTACTAGATCTATTAAGACATATACCTGGACGTGTAAGGGAGAAAATGTGAAATCTTCATGATGGAGCTGCTGCACATCACACACAAACAATAAATAATTATTTAAAAACTGAATTCCCTCAGAGGTGGATAGGACGAGCAGGACCAATTAGATGGCCACCCAGGTTTCTCGACTTAATGAAAATGGACTATTTCCTCTGGGGTTACGTTAAAGAAAAGGTCTATAAGACTCCACCAACGACAAGCGCTAATATGCAAGACAGGATACGGGGAGTTTTTCAGAGAATTAACCACCAAATCTTGCTGAATCATTTAAACGTCGCCGTTGGTTGCAGGTCTGTATTGATGCTGGTGGTGGGCACTTTGAACAATTAATTAAGTCGATAAATAGATTTAGTTAGTTATCATTATCATAAAGTATTCTTACAGAGTAAATGTTTACTTACATTTTGCAACCACTCAGCGACATATTTTAGTTAGTAGATATTTTTCTGTTATTTATATTTGATGGATATCTTCCTAATAAGTCCAAAATTATGGTTTTCACTTCTAAAACATAGAATATCTCAGAAAATACTAGTTTTGAGTGCTTAATAAGACTGGAAGAGCACTACGAGACGCGTTGAATAGAGTTGTAACATACAGGGGTTTGATTTAAATTTTTCGAGAAAATCTTTCTGTTTTGACTAACCGTGTGTGACTCGAAAAACGTATTTTGACGAAAAAGTGGCCATATATTCATAAATATCCAGTATAATCTCCGAGTCCATACATTGGCAGAATCGCCAAGAAAAGGTACTTCTAAAAATCAACACAAAAACAGGGTGTTCCTTTTAAAAGAATACAAGTTTACAATGCCACTAATTTATGGAACACCCTGTATAGCTAAAAATAATTTTAGGTTGTAGCCCCTAACTGCGCCTACAACTTTTGTGATTAACTTTTTTCTGCAACTCTAATAGTAACGAAGGTATTGGACACCCTGTATAGTTTGATATACAGAAGTCGAAGATTCATCGCACTTAATCACGATTCGATTTCGTCTTTTGAAACGATGTGACTCATCCCTTTTCTGTGAAACCTCCAACGAAGGCGAAGGGAGTATAGAGTCACTACTTGACGCCATTTTTACATGTATTCTACTACACACCTCTAGGGTGAACTCCACTTGAGGTTTTCCCAATGTTACTGTCATTAAGAGCGCATTTTAGAACCTTCCGCGTTGTTTTTCTAGAAAAAATGCTACTGTTATTTGAAACACCCTGTATATGCGTCCAAGAGGTTGCTAATTTACTCGGAGAATGGTATTTGAAGTACCATCGTAAAGCATAAACGCATTTCTGCTGCGTGATTTAACCCTACGAGACTACTTCTTCATAAAAAGCAATCTGCCGATGGCAATACAACGCGGCTTATTCTCGCTGTATCATATTAATTGGCAATTCAGAGCCTCCGAGTCCGGAACAGGTTCCGCGTAGCCTTGACCCAGTGGTACCTTTATGCGGAGCACTTGCAACGCAACCGTGTCGTTGGAATGATGATGTCCCATGATCAGTAACTGCGGAAGAGTCTTGTGGTTTTTAGGTTAGGATGTGATACACCGAACGGTATTCAGGACGGGGACGGCATTTAAACAAGTTTGCGATACACGATACTTGACATGGAGTCAGTGTTGCCGAACCGAAATCGGCAGATAGTGGCATTGTCATTCGGTAGATTCAGAGGCAAAATCGGTAGGAAGAAAAATCAGGTCGGCCCAAAATCTGAGGCTATTCAAGTTGCTACGGTTTTTTCATAAACAAAAGGAAATCGTGGTGTGTTTCCTCCTTCCTTTTTTCGTAATTATTTAATAAATTAATAAATACGATAAATGAAATCAAATGGTGAGTCAATGCAAAACAGCTGTCTAGTGGCGTGCAAATTTAGGCCCTAGCTAAATAAAGCGGGAGTAGGGGGGGTTAAAAGCGCCATTGACTCAAGACAGATTGAGCCACAAATCCCCGAAACTTGTTTTTCTTGACCACCCACACAAAAGAAAAAATCTAATAGCAATGACGTAAACTAATTAATTGTACAGAGAGTCAAATAAAACAAGAGATTCAAAACAATCACAATATATTAACCGATTAATCAACACATGTTCCATATGTTCACTACTGCAGTGTAAATAAAAAAAGGTATTATTTAAAATGACCGCACAATAAAATTATTAAACTGCCACCACAACCCCGCTAAACTTCTACCATGGTATATGAATGAAGGTTTTACAAATATTATAGCCCCTAAACCTAAACTGATCTGGAAGGTGGACTTCTTCGTTACAGCTCCAGATGCAGCCGACATTCTTTTCAACCAACTTTCTTTCTTTCACATCTTCTCTTCAGACTACTCCGCTTCACAAAACATACGAGGGATGTCTTTTAAGTTTTGCATATGGAAATAAAACAATACGGTAGATAGTTTTAAATGACTATTGTTTTTCGAAGCATTCTCCACGAAGATTAATACACATCTGTATGCGCTCGAACCAATTTTCGAAGCACATATTCCACTCGTTTGCTGGCAGATCCAAAACGGCATTTTTGAATGCGTCAACTGCTCCTTCTGGTGACTGGAACCTTTGACCACGCAGTCTGTATTTAATTTTCGGGAAACTAAAAAAATCGTTAGGACTTAGATCGGGGCTATATGGAGGATGGTCCAATAATTCCATGTTTTCTTCCGTTAAATACTGCCTTGTTTTTTGGGCTGTGTGCGAGCTTGTATTGTCTTGTTGGAGGATGATTCTTCTTTCGGGGCTGATTTTTCGAAGCTCAGTGATGACTTTTGGCAAACAAATGGTGGTATACCAATCTGCAGTAACAGTTCTTTGCTCATTAAGAGGAATTGTTGCAATATGACCCGCTTTTGACACAAATGTCGCGACCATCTTTTTCGAAACACTTCGAGAACGGATGATTTTTGTTGGCTTTTCTTCACCTTGGAACACCTAAACAGCCGACGGTCGTTTATTTTCTGGTTCATAACAGTAAATCCACGATTCATCACCACTAACAATGCTGTACACATTTTTTGAGTTTCCGGAATTGAAACGGTCAAGCGTTTTTTGACACCAATAAACCCTGGCTGCTTTCTGCTCTTTAGTCAACAGGTGGGGTATCCAACGAGAAACTAATTTTCTTACTCCTAATTCTTCATGTAAATTTTTTTGAATTGATGTCTTTGAGATCTTCAAGGACACCTCAATCTCGCGATATGTCACATGTCTATCTTCAATGATGAGTTTGCGCACAGCATCGACGTTTTCCTGGGTTACTGCCATTTTTGGTGCACCCACCCTGGGATCGTCGCTAAGACTCACCCGTCCACGTTTGAATTCTCCATACCAACAGGAAATTGTCGACTGATGTGGCACTTCGTTGCCAAAAACAGACAGTAACTCAGCAAGGCATTCTTGTTGCGATAATTGTCTCTGAAAGTTGTAATAAATTATGGCACGAAAATGTTCTCGGTTGAGTTCCATTTTTCTAATGACTTGGTGACACTTAAAAATTCACTGTAGTGGGAACACGTATTGTTGTGAAACTTTGAATTTAAGTTTTCTAATGAGTGAGGTTAAGATTCAGTACTGACGTTCGATCCGCGCGGCCTACCATATTTCTATATGCAAAACTTAAAAGACATCCCTCGTATACTTGTTTCTGCAAGCAACAATGCGTGTAGTTGAGTCATTCCTCCATAGATGGACGCTCACGGCGACCATAGCGAGCAAACGTGGAACGAACTATTTTATTGTTTTTTTGACATTTTATAGGTTTTTACACAATAGCCATGTGGCAGGGGTATTATACACAAAACCTAAAAAACGTAAAAAACCGACGAACCACCATTATGCAGACCAGCTTGTGCTAAGTTAACATCTTGTGGAAAAACCTACGTTATGTCACAAAAACCGGCGGAATGAAAAAAAAAACAACAACGAAATGTCACTTTTCAGGATAAGTAATACCGGTGCAGATTTCGATGAAATTTTTACACAACATTACTACTATGCAAAGGACGCTTTGTAGTTCCAGTAGCGGCAGAGAAAAAAGTCAAAAACGAAAAAGAATAGAAGTCGCTCAAACTCCGTTTTTTTTTGGCGTTTCAGGGGATCCAGAATTTATCCGTACATTTTATTATTGCTGTACCTTCGTACTGTAAAATTACCTTATCAGACCTGAATCGTAAGATGTGAGACGCTCCCTAGACCTTTTCCACCGCCCGCTCTTCAATTTTGTCACAAGGGCATTTGCTCAACCGCCCCTGCCGCTCTTCAATAAACCCCCCGAGTCGAACATCTTAAATAAGCTGCGACCACCTCACTAGACCCAAATAGCACAAAGACGTTTCAAAGATGTATTCAGGACATCCGATCTTGACTTTCGAGATATTTTAAAGACGTCTGCCAATGTCTAGCAGACGTTTTTCAGACGCCTTTTAGAGGTCGTTTGTTACTAATCAGAACGTCTTTAAGACGTCTTGTTTTGGTCTATTTTTGTTCCTAAACTGTCGTTCACGACATAACATGGACGTCTCGGAGGCGTCTGAGGGACGTCTCGTAGGCGGCTTGAGGACGTCTCGTTAGCATCTAAGGCCCGTATCGTCAGTCGTCCCTACAATTGTAGGGCGCGTTTATGGCCTCCTTGATTGTCATACTCTTTTCTCTCCTTCAAAAATTTCTATATTACACTCGTCCCGTGTCAGCGTCAGCGCTCTCCTATTGTTAAGATATGTTTTCCTTTCAAATTGTAGGAAATTTCAGGCTGATAAAACATGATAAAACTCAAAAGCAAGCACAATTTGATGCAAATAGATGTTTGTGACATAACCTCAAAATAGAGCGCTGACACGGAGAAGTAGAAACTATGACAATCAAGGAGGCCATAAACCCGCCCTACAATTGTAGGGACGACTGACGATACGGGCCTTAGAGACGTCTCTTTGGCGTCATATGAACGCCTTGCAGGCATTCACTATAATCCTTCACAGACTTTTACAAAGGCAAAATGTAATAAAAAAACAAAATCACTGAAAAGGGTTTTATTTCATAAATCTTGAAACTGGACATACTACAGATCAAAATGTTTGAATTGACCTAAACATACCTTAGTCCAAAAGTTGATAGTTTGCGAGATGCAGGGTGTCAAAGTTACAATTTTATTTTATATTTTTCCTTATTGCTTGAGAACTAATTCAGATTTTGGTTTTCTATTATGAGAAATAAGAATCCGTTATTTTTTATGGCCACACTTCTAGAGGGCGCCACTTACAGCACTATTTCGGTAAATAACCTATCATAACTTTTTTGTGCTACTCTGTATACAACAACTGACCAAAAATCTTATTTTCTCGTATTGCAACAACAAAAAAGGTTTACTAGTTAGAAGTGTCTAAAGCTAATGTTTTTCGAGATATTTGTTTTTAAAAGTTCCAATGCATTATTTGTACCATGATGATAAAACATTTTTATAACAAAAATCAAGTTGCTTTGGATAATATCTGAGTAGCATTTCTATGGTTTATAATGTTTGTCATAATATTGCATTAAACTTCATGACTAATTTTAAGTTGACAATAAGTTGTTAAACATCATGGAGTATAAGTTTGATGAATATTCTGATATACATTTAAGGCGGCTCCGACGCAGTGAGTTTCAAGCCATTTACAAGGGTTCAGCTGCTTCAAAACTGACACTTCATTTTTATATATTTTTGAATGAAATTTATACAGTATGTTGAGAAGGTAATTGCCCAGGGTGCTTAAGGAGCACTTTTTGAAATTTTGTTTTTGCACAAGTTTTATGATGGGTTGAAGTGCGCACTTTTTCTGTTCAACTTCGCGATTTTTTTAAAAAGAACCTACTGAAAAAAATGAAAAAGTGGCTCTATCGCACCCTGTGGGGTTTTGTTTTCAGCGCTCTGTGTGTGGAATATCAAAAAATAAAGCATCAATTTCGAAGCGCGCAAACCTCTACAAATCGTATTTTGGACGAATTTTGTCTACGTACGGACTAAGAAAAGACGTATTCAGATAATTCGGTGGCCCTATTTCATATAATATCGCGTAGATAAGTCGTTCTGCAAATAGGTACTCATAATCGCGATAGCTGATACTCCTCGATTTTAAAGCCGTTTTACTTTTTTTTTTATATATATCGAAACAGCCGCGCAGGCAGAAGCCTAAATGCCGGAACACCGCGGCTGCTATGATGATCCCAAAGAAATTTTGTTAATACGATTTTTGAACTGCCTAAGGTTAGTAGAACTGGGAAAAGCTTCCTCCCGTAGATTGTTCCACAATCTAGACGCCCTCGGGACAAAGGAGCGGTCGTATCGGCCAGTTCTGGATGTACGAAGTTTGACACAGTTAGGATGGGACGCCGAAGTCAGGCGGGTCTGTCTGGCAGGCACATCGCGCGGCGGCATCATGGAAGAGAGCTCTGAGGAGCAAAGCTCGTTGGTGTAGCGATAGAAAAGAGCTAGATCGCCGACGGCCCGCCGGTGCGAAAGAGTCCCGAGACTGTCTGTTAGGGAAGAGTCATCGATCAGTCGGACCGCCCTCCTCTGGACAGCATCGAGCATGGACAATGTAGTCGGGGCGGCAGCACCCCAAATGTGTGAGCAATACTCGAGGCTAGGCCTTATCTGGGCATTGTATAGAGTGAGAAGGTCATGCGGAGAAAAGTACTTCTTAGCCCTAAACAAATAGCCTAGCTTTTTCCCAGCAGCTGCAGCTATTGAAGAGATGTGTTCATGCCAGATCAGGTCCTCGGTGATCTGGACTCCGACCAGCCGAAATGAATGGCTCTTTGGTAGAACCCGACCGTCCATCGAAACTGTATGAGCACTAGGACGCTTTTTGTTCGTCAAAGTACAGTACTGTGTTTTGGAAGCATTGAACTGTACAAGATTGTTGCGTCCCCAAGTAGTGATAGCCACCAGGTCTCTTGTCAGAGAAGAAGTCGTCGCTAGTCTTCTTTTTTCCAGCTCAGCGGCAGAGATCGGCTTGTCACTCTGAATTCCTGCATGTAGAGTGCTGTCATCAGCGAAGATGTGGATTGGGTCGATCGTGCAGGAAAGGAGGTCGTTGATATGTAAGAGAAACAGTGTTGGAGCCAAGACCGATCCCTGGGGAACACCCGCGTTGAAGTTGTGGGATGAAGAGGAGAATCCGTCAATTACGACGGATATCTTGCGGCCAGAGATAAAGTCAGCCACCCATCTGCAAAGCTTTTCTGGGAGGCCGTAGGATGGAAGTTTGCATAAGAGGGCAGCGTGCCACAGCTGATCGAACGCTTTCGTGATGTCAAGAGCAACGACATGAGCCTCACCATGAGACTGGATGAGTTTACTCCACAGTTGCGTGACGTAAGCTAGGAAGTCCCCTGTGGATCGTTGGTGCCGGAAACCGTACTGCCTGTCGCTAATCAAGCTGTTACGTTCGAGGTAGTCCAGAAGCTCGCGATTTATGCACCTCTCCATCACTTTACTTATAACAGAAAGCAGAGCTATAGGCCTGTAGTTGTAAGGGTCGGTTTTAGATCCTTTCTTTGGGATGGGCTGTACATGAGCTAATTTCCAGTTTTCTAGGAAGGTGCCGAATTCATAAGATATCTGGAAGAGACGCGAAAGAACTGGAGCAAGCTCCGCTGCACATCTCTTCAGTACAATGGCAGGAATTAAGTCCGGACCAGAAGCTTTGTTGATGTGGAGCGACAAGAGCACTCGTCTGACGGTCTTATGCTTGAATGTTACCTCCCGCATAGTGTGGGGAGCCCTTTGAATTGACGGCACTTGGGCGTTGGTGGGGACGTCCATGGTGGAGTTGGCAGCAAAGATCTTGGCTAGCACTTCCGCCTTGGCCTTTGAGTCGAATACAATAGTTCCATCCTGACACATAAGTGGTGGAAGGCTACTGTGTGAGAAGTTCTTTTCAATCTGCTTGGCCAGCGTCCAGAAAGACCGACTGCCATTGCGCTGCGACATTACCCTGTGCCTAACTTTTATATCATGCTGGTTTTTGGCATTGCGAACCGCTTCGTTATATTTGTTTCTGGACTCGACGTCGGCTTGTCTGTTCTCTACAGTGGGGTTTTGTAAGTAGGTTCTGTGGGCCTTGATCTTCTGCTGGCGAGCAGTGTCACACGATTTGTTGAACCAGCCGTTGGACCCTGGTTTAGGAACTTTCACTGTGTGAGGGATGTATTCCTCCATTCCGACGTGGATAATTTCGGTTATTGAAGAACAGACAGTCGACGCATCCGCGTCAATGAAACAGACATCTCTCCAAGGAAAGCTAGAGAAAAAGTCTCTGAGCCCCTCCCAGTCGGCATGTCCGTAATGCCAAGTTTTGCGGCCTGTGCGAGTTTCTGCTGCCACAGCGGCTTCTGACCGAAACCTAACCTCCACAACACCGTGATCTGAGTTACCCAGGGGGGACAGGACAACAGTGCTGTAAGGGGCAGGATACGTGGTCAGAAAG